AATAAGAAAAACGTGCCTTCATGATCGCTTGGAATGGCAGCATTAACTCGGAACCCTTAATGACGATATTCGGGAAATCGAGCAAATGCACCTCAAGAGGGTCAAGCATAGCTTTTCGAGTGACAATTATTTGACGTGGCTGTTCTTCAACTGGCAACGAACGAATCAGCGCCGCAACTTCTTCAGCCGTTTTCCATTTTGCCAACTACAAATCTCATTCACTCAATCACTTCACATTTATATTAAACAATACGATCATGCCACTAATTATGAATTAATCTCCGAAAGAGTTACTCAAATTAAACTATTAAACAAAAACAAACAAACAGCTAAATAAAAGAATCATCTCTACATTCCATATCTATCACCCACCTGACTAAGACGCTTCTGTCCAGCCCATACACTCGTATGAATAATCTTCAAGAACAGTTGACCCGTACGTGGATTGAATATGAAAATCGCACCATTGATTGGCTTTGTGGTCAGATTACCTTCGAACGTCTGAAAATAACTTTCAATCAAAACAAATCATAATTCACTTTTTGCACCTTATTAACTTAACTGCAAAACAATAAACACATCTTTAAAAATAAACAAAAGTTCAATCCCGCTTCTGTTGACGACCTTACGAAAACTCTCAAAGCTTTCATCAATCATCCACCGCGAATAATATTTTTATGAAAAATCACAATTATTGAAAGTGAAAGGGAGATAAAATTTCTAAAATTACAACGAACCTTGTGAATGGTAACGCGATAAACGTTTGTGTCATCGACAAACCAAATAATTTGATTGCTGAATAATTCGCCATAATTTTGAGATGTCAAATACGGCTCTGTTGGTTCGGATGAATAAAGCTGAAGACCTTTACGAATACGTTCTCGCAGCACGTAGAATGCTGGATTTGCTTTTATGATCTTGGCCATTGCTTGCCTTATCAACGGCTTCATTCCCGGGAACCAATTGCCGTAAGCACTGCAACACAACGACATCAATCAACAATCAGAGCTACGATGGAAACATCGCATCGATGAAGTGTTTAAAATTGAAATCGAAATATTCAACGATAAAATGAGATGACTAACGCAAAATTAATTTCGAACAAAAAAAACAAAGCAATGCATTCATTCTCATGTTGAATTTTGATCATGAAACGAAATGTATGTGCAATATTTGAATATAAACAATAAAAACGAATCAGAACAAAGAGTACCTGTATAAGTTATAAGCGAGATCGATCGCAATCAAGACGCCAGTCGGTGACGGATAAATGGACATGTTATCGGTGGTGTAGTCGAGGAACTTGGCACGTGCATAACGTTCCACATCGTGCGAATCGTAATCACCCCATCTCAGCTGTATATCCAACCAATACTTTTGAGTTGTCGTATTATCCATCACATCTCTGCAATTCATTTATCGTTTAACCGCGTTATTATTCTTTGTTCAACTTTCATTACGAAAAATCGTCACATTAAATTTAAACGCATTTTACAAAACAGTTTTGTTATAATCGCACTGATCGTGAGAGGCTCAAAAAAAAAACCAAATGAAAAACAGTGACATGTACAAGCGAATGAATATACTTTGAGTCAGCGAGAAGCGACGGTCTTGAGACAT